AATCCCTCTACGTTTAAATAAAATGTAAACAAAAACAACCTTTATCGCTTTCTTGTATAGCACAATAATCTCCATGCCGTTACATAGACCCAACGACAATCAATAAAATTAATTAGGAGAATTTATAACACAAAAAGGAGACCGCCCTTGCCCATCTTAATTAGGATTTCCGAAAATTTCATCCTATCGGACGAAATAAACACAGCAATATATGTTGATCGGACAATACACGATTTAATTACAAAAAAAAAATGTGATTCGTCTATAAATTGAACTAATTATAGTTGTTGGTGATTCTAGATCGTGTGTTTCCAGAATTACTAACCTGCACTTCGCGTGCATTAAGGATTATTCATAATATTCTGCGATGCTATAAAAACAATTTTGCAACAAAAGTTTTTTAACATTTATTTTATATTTGGCCACGGACATTAGCTTTTATTGACTATCCAATTTGTTGTAGAGTATTACATTAAATGAATTTTTGTCGGACACACATAGCTTAAATTTTGGGGGCAATAACAATTGACAATGGCGAGTGTTGTAATTGTTGATGCTCTTATCTAATGCTTCTCCTTTAGAGAATTATTAATTATGGATATCAACTAATGTGTTATAAATATAATATGTATATCCACGGTAATGGCATTATTTACACATCTCTGCAATGATCATTATTTCAATATTGGCAATATTATAGTCCAGGCTATATAATATTTTTTTACAAAAAAAAATAGTTACCGGTCCAAACCGGGTTTTTCATGCTGGTGAAATGATTATAAATTGGAGAAAAATAATTAAAACAGCTGAATTTGTCCGCGGGTGAAATCACGGGAGTTGAAAGAGGTGGAAACTGGTATTTTTCAATTTGTGGAAAATCTATTAATTTTAGGCGAAAATGTTAGAGAATAAAAAAATGAACAACTTTTGTATCTCACAATTTACACATAACCTCCAATTTGCCCAGAAAAACCGAGAAAACTTTTTTTTATTCTTATTTTTGCGAAAAAAAGTCATAGGGGTTTGAAATGTGGCTTGTTGTTTTATGATAAAAAAGGAGACAATTTTTGTGGCCCCGTAAAGTTGAACCGTTTCCGAGATCTCACGATTTCTGTAAAAACCACCTCTTTTTCAAGGGGATGAAAAATCTATTTTTTTCATCGTACAGAGGTGCGCGGAGTAGCAAAATTTTCAGGAAGATTTAGATTTTAATAAACAAAAATAAAAGAATATTATTCCTATAGCAACAATTCGAGAAAATCGCCAAAAACTGGAAACACAGTTTTAAGATATACGCGGTTTTTGACATGACAAATCAACGTGTTGGATGTCCATAAACATTTTTTTCGAAATCTGTCTTCTTACTTCTCTTTAATGTTTGCTTAAATATTCTCTTTTGTTATCTTATGCTCAACTGTTTTAGTTAAAACATCTTTATTATTTCTTTTTCTGCATATTATTACCGCAATAAAAGCAATTCTAACTAAAATCGAATTATCTTGCTTCCTGATTCCTGAACAATTTGTTTTTGTTCGCTGACTCTTCTCCCTGCCTGATTTATAGCTGATGCAATTACGTTGGGCCTGTTGATAAACTTGCAAAATCTGCAATGAGAACGTTAGTTTTACCGGCCAAAGCAAATGATTAGAGAAGTAATTTGTAAAACCTGGAATAAACTTCGTGAGGATTTTATTCATAATTCCTACAAATTAACGATGAACAGGCCCAGCGTAATCGCATCAGCTGTAAAACAGGCAGGAAGAACAGTTAGTGAACAAAAACAATTTGTTCAGGAAGCAAAAAAATTCGATTTTACTTCAAATTGCTTTTATTGCGGTAAAAAAGCAAAAAAAAGAAATAACAAAGACGTTTTAATTAAGGCAGTTCGGCATTAGGAAACAAAAGAAAATATTTTAGCAACATTAAAGAGGAGAGAGAAGACAGATTTCAAAAACTTTATATTAGCGTGGATGCAATACGTTAATTTAGTTGCAAAGAAAGCTAAGCAAAAACAGTGTAGGTATATCTTAAAACTGTTCCCTCAGTTTTTGTCGCTTTTCTTAAAATTTTTCTATTGGAATAATATTTTATATCTTTGATTATTAAAATGTAAGTCCTTACGAACATTTTGCTACCCCGCGCACCTCTGTACGATGAAACAAAATAGATTTTTCATCCCCTTCAAAAAAGTGTTTTTTTCTGAAATCGTGAGATCTTGGAAACGGTTCAACTTTACGGGCCCAAAATTATCATCATTAATCAATGTTTTCTCCAAATTTCAAACCCCTACGACTTTTTTTCGCAAAAATAAGAATAAATAACGATAAAAACAGTTTTTTTACAAAGTGATGAAATTATCGCAATTTTTTTAACAAAAATCGTATGGAAAGTGGTACTTTTTTCACGATTTTTACTATGCGTTTCCATGGAGTTTAGTCCTGTCTATGAACAATAGCATCCACTTTTGAGTGACACTAAATCGCGAATGTCAATCATTATTCAATTGTGGGTTATTATGGATCACTATGCAAAAAAATTTCGTGTACAACACGTGTTCAAAGTGTCTTTTTTCCCTGAATTCATGAAAAAAAGTATCACTTTCAAAACTAGTTGTACAAATAACTATTCCGGTTTTTCTAGGTAAATTCGAGATTATTTGAAAATAATGCAGATACAAAAGTTACTCAGTTTTTTACTCTCTATAACTTTTATACATTGAACATTTTCGTCTAAAATTAATAGTTTGGCCACAATTTGCAAAACACCACTTTCCACCCCTTTCAACTCCCGGGATTTCACCCGCGGAAAAATTCGGCTTTTTTAATTATTTTTTCCTAATTTCTAATCATTTCACCTGCCTGAAAAATCCGATTTCGCCCGGTAACTAATTTTTTTTTAAATAAATTATTTTAGAGCTATTTAGCCTGGACTAATAATCCGCACAGCTTTTTTTGAATTCTAAAAACTCTTTCGGAATGAGGAGATCTTCCCCATACAGTTATCAGATTGCCGTAATTTTAATAACAAGTAAATCGGCCCTGTGATGTATCAGAAACGGATAACTTAACGTGTAGGAGTTCTGCCAAAAAACGTTATTTTGCGTTCGCTGACGTTATGTTTTAATTTATTGCATTGAAGCCAGTCGTTTATTTGTCTATCAGCAATGAAGATATAACCATTTTGCGTACGCCTATATCTTTGGCCTTACAAAACACGGTGGTATCATCTGCAAATTACACACATAATTGACCTGCACTAATTCAGTTTGGTAAATCATTGGCATAGAGGAGAAATAAAAATGGACCCAATACGGGGCCTTGTGGAACGCCAAGAGTTACCGCTTCTAGATCGGAGTTTTTGGTATTAAAAGAAACGCACTGCATGCGGTGGGTTAAATAAGACTAAATAAGATCTAGTGATTTTCGACGTATTCGATAATAATGCAACCCCTGCAGTAGTATTGAGGGTAGCACGCAGTAAAAACCTTTTGTCAGATCATTCAGAAGGGCAGTAGCGTTACAACAATCTTGCAGAGCATTAACAATGAGATCAATAAGTTGAGAAACTACGTTAGTTGAGTTGAGTGGTTGGCTCTAAATCCGTATTGACAATCACTAAGATACAAAGGGAACACGTTCTACGTAAGGCTGAACCACGCACCCTGGGCCATACGAATTCAATTTTTTGGGTATTTCTGTTGGGATAATTTTATGGCATCTAAAATGATAGGGGTCAGGGGGCGCACATTATAAAGCTATGCGTTAGCTGGGAGTGAGGGGGATGAATGTTAAAACTGAGGTAAACCTTTCATTAAAACCCCCTCTAAATGTAGGTGTAACTGTGTAAGTAGACTTATTGTCTTCTATTCCAGAGTGCGTTTAATGTGTAGGTATTTAACCATAAAACATAAAAACTACTCCATTTTACAAGACCAAAGTTTGAAATTAGAATTAGTAAGTATTACGTAAATTAGAACACATTGTATAGTCATACTAAGCATGTTCTGCATTATTTCATAATTGGACAACGGAAAATTGTATGTCAATTACATACATCATTGCCAAATAGTGCAATCAGCAATTTCTTGTGAAGTAGTAGAGTCGCAAAGATAGTAATTTACCATTTGCCAGTTTGTGTCCAGATACAAACATCATGGAGCATTGAGTCTATTAGTCAAAAAGGCATAAAACCGACGTATGAGGCTGTACGGAAGTACACTAACCCGAAATTCTGCAGGGTGTGAAGGTGGTGTAGTAAAAAGGGATAGATTCATCCCTTGTGGAAAGATAAAATAATGTGGTTTATTTATATTGGAAACTTTTTTCAGTACAACGGATCTCATTCATGAATGAAGCTAGTTCTGCCATAACTTCTCATTTCGGCAATTGTGGGTCAAATAATTGCAGCTAACGTACAAATGCCGCCACCTCGCGTCGCAAATAGAAAATATCCATTTACGAAAAATTTTATTACCCCACGACCGCTGCTTTTTATTTCCGCAACGCAAAAAAGTTTCCTCCAACTGACGCGGCGCGTTTCTTTAATTAGGTCAGCCGACGTTTTCGTCTTGTGCGTGAGACGCGCGGCGTCGTTTTTTTTTAATTAGGAAAACTGACCTAGTTCGATCGACTCTTTTAGACTCCCCGCGTATCCTGGAGTTTGACGTGGTGATTTATCTTTTGCTACCTCCACCCCGTGCAGATTCCGCCATCGATTGAAGCACGTGGAGGACGCCTCTACCAACCCCTCCGTGGAAAGTCACCAGGTTGATAAAGCGGACGGCCGCCGGCGTCGGTGTTTCATTAATAAAATAGGGACGTGGAGGAGAATTTGTTTATTAATAATAAGAGCGGTTTATAAATAAGTGAAATGAGGCGTTTGATATAAATAAATCGTTCATCGTGCGTTGACGGCGGAAGACACGGGGTGACTAGCGCGAGGGGGTCTCCGCATTGTTCGTCGAGAATTCCCTTTTTTTTATTAATATCGTAAATGATGTAGGGGGATATTACGTAACCGGTGGTTGCCTATCCTGAGCGTCATCGTACGGGACGAGACAGGCCGAAACGGGATCGGATCTCTGTCTGGCCAGACCTGGCAAACACCGTCTCTCGTACTCGTAGAAATTCAGTATCAACCGACATGTCTTGCGTAGCTGATGTGAAGCTGGTTTGAAACGTGTTCTGTCTGTCCAGACCTTGCTTTTCAGTTTGCTTGTCAATAATTACCTTATCGTCGCATTGTAAACAGTACGTAAGCGTAAATTTGATTTAAAAACCGTGCGAGTTGCGACCGTTCGCGTTTGCACCACCACCAGAGAGCGGAAAACGTGCAGCTTCATTTTTTCCAAAATCCGTGTTTATAGTGTGATCCGTTTTTGACTATTTGGCCGGGCTCGCCGTTTTTGGCCAGCTCCCTAATTTGAACATCTCGTGCATTTTCAACGCCAAATGTGTGTGCTTTATCATTTACAATCCAATGTGATTTTTCAATAAGGAGAGAGGAATATGAAAATCAATGTGAGTTGTACACGTTTAAACTATTCGCAAATTCTGTTTAGCCTTGTATTTTGATCCACCTAACCTCACAAACCACACGCGCCGTTTCTACTTTCTCCTCCGGCCGATTTTCTTTTTAAAGAGATTCCCGCTCCCGAATGACTAACTCGCTGCCCGAGTTCGACAACCGAATTTTCACGTGCCAAAGTGACGACATATTCCCATAAAGGGTGTCGGCGAGCCCAATAAACAACTATCAATAATCGAAAACGGGGAAATAGTAAGAGAATGTGTGTATGTCCAGCATTTGGCTTCGTGGCATCTCGTACGAATCGGATATTTTTAACTCTGGAACTATTCGCTCGTTTGCTGCCAAAATGTTTGAACTATGGCAAATAGTTCGGGTTCGTTTATTACAAAAATCACTCTATTTCTACTGAAAGTGGAAGGCGAAATCGCCGCCAAGTACAAAAATTACACGCACGCTTTAAGCTTTAACATTTAAATTTATACGAATTAGGAAAGGCCTAATTCCTTAATTGGCCTTTATGGGCACTCTTAAATATGTGCTAATTTACAATAAAAATTATAAAGCAGCCGAGCGCGCGCGGCCGAATGTTGTTGACCTACTACCGATCTATCAAAGCGTGACAGACGAAAACTTCGGAATTTCACTTGCCCAAATTTCGGGAATTAATTAAACGCGCCGACGTGGGCGATTTTAAGTATATTGAATTTTTGCGGCAGCCTTGACCACGGCCGCGCGCACTTTCGTTTTTCAATTCTCCAACCGCGAAAATTGGGAAAATCGCGTTTACTTTCGTTTTACTGCCGTGCGCGTAAACCCAATAGAAGTGTTCCGCTTCGTGGAGAAAGTGAAATTTTAATGGAGCCAGGAGTTGCTGGAAAAAGAGATTCATAGTGCGTATCTACCGAATTTTGTGGCTTTATTGAAATAGGCATGGAAAGCCCGTAATTTTATTTATTCAGCACTATTCCAAACCTCAGTTTTTGAATGGAGATTAAATGCATCTGTAGCCTTCTTTCGCACTTTCTCTATTGCTACCGAAACTCACAAGTAACAAGCTACCAGAAAATATTGCAAATTTTACTATCGAACCAGAAGAACAACGCGTTTGGTTCACCCGAATAATTTCGAAAAATGGTGCTGAATGTTGAACTCAAAATCAAATCGGTTTTGTTCAAATTTAGTGCAAAAATGTGACGATTTGGAGAGCATGAGCCGTCTCACTCTAAGTACATATCTCATTTCGGAATGAAAATCCTCGCAAAAAATTGTACCTACAAAGTAAATTTTCCACGAGATTTTCCATGAAGTTTTTAACGTGATATTGTAGTTTCAAAACCCGCGGCTTACTTATTTGCTGAAAATTCGCTTCACCGTTGTCGATGCGTACGAACTTTATTTTCATTGGAAAATGTGTGGAATTTGACATTTAAAAAATATAAAATTAGTGTCCTCACCTGTGGAAAATGTCTTTGCGCACTTTATTGGGCACTAATGGAAATAAAATGCGACAGATGATTTTCTTTTGTAGACCTTCTCTCACGACTTCTCTTCCAGTAGTTAAACCTGAACTCAAAAAGATGAAAGTACATAGGTAGTACTCGACAGAGCATGTATAACGAGATGTATTAGGTAGGTACTCGTAAGTGCCTTTCACCTTCAAGCTCGCCTTCAAGTTTAACTTATAGCGACTCTCAAGAACACAACTCGTTTGGTTTCACCTTGAAACATTCGACTCAAAGAATCTGTGGAAAAGTGTCGAATTCACAATCAAATCGGTTTTGCTCAATTGAGTGCGAAAATGTGACAGCTTATGAATATGGGCATTTTGTAATGAAAATTATCGCTATCGCTTGTGAGCAAGAGGCACTTTCAAATTTTAATAACTCTAATGGACATTTTATGCCTTAACGAGAATACAAAAATGTAAGAATCTTTGTGATTCAGACAGACAGACATAAAAGGAGCGCAAAAGTGCACTTTTTTGTTTTTTGAAAATGAATGTGCACTAAAAAAACATTAAGCGCATGGTTTTCAATGTACCATAGCTGTAGAAACCCATTCTTTTGTACATATAGAATAAACTCGACAATAAATTATTCCTAAAAACATACTTTACTTATTTACGTTTTTCCGATCTCTGAATACGTTTTCCTCGACGTTTCCCCTCGTGACTCTTTGGATGAATACTGCACGGAAATCCGCCACGAGCCGCTTTCGAACGCTTTTCTTTTGCAGGCAACCTATCGCGATTTTTGCACTTATTGCAATTAGGTAGTTAAAACGAAATTAGGTATCAAAGGTGCTTCTATTATACAACTTGTATATTTGAATAGGATCCCTTATAAACTGACAGAAAAAGAACACGTTTGGTTTCACCCTGAAATTTTCGACTCTAAACGAATTTTTCTGTCAGAATTTAATCTTGCTGGTGTGTTTTAAGGAGTTTTTAGAATATGTTTTGTTCTAAATTTTTTATTATTCCATGATGTAAATTCTCGCAAAAAAATTGAAAAGAAAGTAAATTTTCCAATGATGTTTTCAACAATACCACATTTGCACCTTTTATACGTTAATATCTATCACGACATCTACGATATCATTTTAGCTCTACTTATTATTTAAAAAGTTCTGTAGAATGAATTTTGTTCTAAATTTCTTATCATTTTCTAATGTAACTTCTCGCTAAAAATTGATAAGAAAATAAATTTTCCGAGGGCGTCTCACTTTCGAAAGTATCGTGTACCTATCCTATTTTGGTTCAGATTGCAGTGAATCTAAGGTATCTTTAAAGATAGAGAAGTGCAGTTTTCGCGACCCTGTATACCACTTATTTTAAGGCCACAAACAGAATCCATCTAAATACGGTTGTTTCTGACATACAGGATGAAAACAAAAAGTTACTACCCATGTAGGATAGAAAAAAGTAAAAACTGCCTATTTTAAATATTTTTACATAGTATCCAGCCAGTGGCGGATTTATATTTTTTGCTTTAAATTGCAATAAATTTTAAAATAAAAATCAAATTATAACTTGAAACCTCGCTTGAAACTAATATGAAAAGAAATACAGTATACCTAAGATTAAGTTTTCACACACTACCATTCCAATTTGTTATATCCATAACACAGTTCCCCTTTTTTTTCATTATTTCATAATTTTAATTAAAGATTTTTGTGATTTGTCACTTGTTAGGGGACTTATTTTAAAACTTAAAGTCTTAAAATGTTACCTAAAATAATATAGTGCAAAAAATGCCGCCCTCTAAAGCTGCCGCCCCTAGGCACGTGCCTAGTGTGCCTATGTAAATCCGCCACTGTATCCACCGTTTCTGAAATTTGACCCAAAGTTAGTATTTCTTGAGGTATTTTTTAAATACAACACCCTGTATATCTTTTTAAATCTGTATATTTTTTTAAATGTTATCCAAGTCCCATAAAGAAAGACCTTAATTTTTACGGTTTTTAATTAGTAGGCCATGGATTCATAGAGATTTTTATTTGTATATTGTATCCAGGGCAGCCGATAGCAACCAATAAAAATGGCTGACGGTAGAAACCTCGGTAGAAACATGTCATTCGAGATGTCATTTTAAAAATGATATAATTTAAAAAAATAGAGGTTATTTTTCAATGTAATCAGGAAAAAGAATACAAAAGATTGACGTTAAAATATAAAGGGTGTTCTTCTGTGTAAAAATGTCTAAAATAGGCAGTTTTTATCTCTTTTCTATTTTACGTGGGTAGTAAGATATGATAAATCCCAAAAAGGCAAACTTTTCGTTTTCAACCTATATCTCAGAAACAAACTTATACTTTATTCACGAGTTTATTCATTTTAAGAAGATAGCGGTAGAAACGAGGGTAGAAAGCATAGGGAACCTTTGACCTTCACTGTAATTGGTCAGTCAGTATCACGCTGAAAAATAAAACGATTGACTAATTTTGTAAGTTCTGTCATTAGCTGTTAATGTCAAAGGTGCAAGCGTGAAATCGTTTGTTTTATTTCCGTTCGCAGTGCTGGGTAGTTCTACTTTAGATTTTTCCTGTGTGCGCTTATCTTCAAAGCTCGCTTCAAAGACGGCGCCTCGGACGGCGCCATTTACTGCCTTCTTTTTTATTTATTTTTTTTTTTATTTTTTTATAGTTAGATTAATTCGGTTTGAGGTATTGAAAGTTTCACAAAAAGTGGGCACTGGGTCGGCGAAAACCGCAGGTCTCTATCTTTAACAATAACTGGGGAGAAGTTCAGTCCCAACCAAAATAGGGCACACGCTACATGTTCCTTTTGTGATAAGTCTATCGGCAGTCATGATAGAAATCGGACTACTTAATAGTTACGGAATTCATTACGAATACAGGGTGGGTCAGGGGAATCGAATCCTCTTAAAATGATAATGAAAAATCGAAAAATCTACCCAAAATTAAATGTATCGGTACAGAAACACTTAAATTATAGCATTTAAAAAAAGTTAATTGAGAAATTATGTCCGATAAGTGATATACTGATATCCATTTCGGCAAGGCAATACAGTGTTGCAATAGAGGTTGCAATCTTAAGGCCCTGTCAGACAGAACGCATTCTTCGGTCAGCGGTCTGCGATATTTGCATTATGCATGTAACCTGTTAAATGCGGTCCGCCGCTCGGTCGGAACGCTCTCTGTTGGACAGGTACAATGCATTTACCTCGGCGTTTACATAGAATACAGATATCCCAGACCGCGCTCTGTCTGGCAAGGTCTCTAGAGGATAATCGAGAGAGATCTGCGCAATGTTCTCACGAATTCTCTAGAGTGCGAACTGTACGTCGGAGGCCAGGCGGCGGTTTTTACCACCGGCATGTTAGTAAGCTGGGGAGGTATTTCATTGGGGTAAAAATGAGCCCCCGTTTTTTTACGGAAATGCACATTTTGAAGCACCAGATGTCCAAATCAAACAAAATCTCGATGATGTCGGTCGGTTTGTCTGTCTGTACTTTCATTTCCGACCGTA